AACAACACAAATTATTCAACACAATTCAATTGCATAATTCACAAAGTATTCTCATTCACTGATAACAACATAATCATTCAGGACATATGCAAATAATAAATGCAAAGGTACTTAACACCATGCCTCAACAATGCAAGCGGTACCATTATGGACAATACAAGTCCATCTCGCTCTTGAATTCCCACCATAGGATCATGGCACACCAAATCGCTACTGTCACCATAAGTAACACTTCACCGATTCCCATATGAACCCAACTACTCGCTCATGAATCCCCACCATAGGACCAGAGCACACCAAAACTGAACTGAAACTCGTACACCATGATGCATGACTCATATCAACATGCATTATCACCAAAAGAATCACCAAAGTAAATCACCATGCATATTTCACCATTATGCATAATATCATTCACCATACGCAATAATTAATCAATGTTATGACAATTAACAAACAACACCAAACAACAACAACAACTCAACAAATGCATATTCACAAGCATTCAATCATGTTAATTTATTATAACATCAACACACCATTAGGCAAACGTAATTATTCGCTCATCGATCATACGTGTCATCACACCATCCCTATAGTAGACTCCTGACTACAACTCTATTAATTCACCAAACACTACCATGATGTAGCTTTGTGCGTTAGCTTTCCAACACGTCGAACAGTGTCTCATTTGGAATCATGAAACTCAAGTTACGTTCGTAAACGTCTTACTTAGTACAAAATTCAGGCTATTACGACCCGTAGCACTCCCCGGTCATTCTCCCCTTTTGGGAACGCCTATGGTACAAAACCTAGAGGGCTGCTACGACCCGTAGCAATGCCCAGAAACCCCAAAATTATTTTGTAATTTTGTGCGATCGCTCTTGTTTTTGAACCTTGCATCAGACCCCAAACCTTGATTTTTGACTTCTAACATCCCCCAAATACACCATACACATTTTACATTAAAACATGTGAATTTTATCATCTTTTAACATCTAAATCAACAATACCTCATATATCTATCACTAACATTCAATTCACTCAATTCATCATGGATTAACATGTTTTGATCATCAAGTTCACAACAACACATGAACATACTTTCATATCAATTTCATCAACAAGAACACATGATTTTTAGGGTATGAATTTTACATATGGCATAACATATATCACACAATTACAACACTCAATCACATGTTCATCCAACATTCATAAAAAAGAATAGAATTTTTATTTATTGGGATTATGGATTTCCCTCTACCCAAATATGCAAAATACACCCTATTAGGAGTAATTCTCCCCACCTTACCTTAGATTATTCAGCAAGACGCAAACTTCAATATCTAACAAAGGAGTTCCTTTTAGCGATAACTCTTGCCTTTTCCTGTTTTCACCAAAAACTTTGTTTTACATTAAAAAACTCCCGAAAACCTATTACTAACCTTTTTATTAGTAAACTAATCATCCTCAATTAGAGACTTCCAACACTACCATCACTTGTCCTCTTATTTACCAACATGCCCCTTTCAATCTCTAATTTTATTTTAATAATAATGCTATTAATATTCTCTTTTTCCCTACTACTTCTACTCTTCTATTTTATTACAACCAATCAAATAAAATATCTATAGTCTAATAATTAAAAATTCTCATTATTCTAAATAAATAAATAAATAATTATATTTTATTATTAATTAAAATGCCAATATTCTAGTTATTTTTTACGCATTCTACCAATCATATATTTCTCACCACACCCTACCGATACGACTACACCCCTATAACCACATAATTTCATTTTAATTAAAACACCAAATAATCAAATAAAATTTTAAATAATTAAATTAAATTAATTAATCGAATTTGGGGTGTTACAACTCTCCCCACTTACAAAATTTTTACCCTCGAAAATTACTTGAAGGAAATAGAGTCGGATACGACTCTCTCATATGGCTCTCCAGTTCCTAAGTCACGCTTCCACCGAATTGTCCTCCCCACACTACCTTCACCAAGACAATCTTCTTACCACACAACTGCTTCACTTCTTGATCCTCTATCCGTATGGGTGTTGCCTCAACAGTCAGGTTCTCTCTCACCTGTACAACATTCATTTAGATCACATGAGACAGATCAGAACATGAAATACATAATGAACATTAGCAAGTGGTGGATGCAAGAAAATTCAATAAGCCACCTCTTCTTTCATATGCAAATTTTGATATAGATCAACAAAATGTGGCGTAAGCTTTCGAGACTTCAAAACTCAACCAACACCAGTTACCAGAGTAACTCTCAAAAACACATATTCTCCATCTTGAAACCCAAATGCCATCCTCCTCTTATCATGGTAACTCTTTTGGAGACTTTGTGAAGTTTTCGTCTTCTCTTGGATCATCTTGATCTTCTAAGAAGTTTATTAAACAATCTCAGATCCAATCACTGCACCCTCGCCTGATTCATACCAACACAAAGGTGTCCTACACCTCCTACCATACAAAGCCTCGAACGGGGTCACTCCAATACTTAAATGAAAACTATTATTGCAAGTGAACTAAATTAGCGACAAGTAGCTATCCCAAGCACATCCTTGTTCTAGTGCACAAGCCCCCAATACATCCTCTCAAGATTGTATAGTCCTCTTTGTATGACCGTCTGTCTACAGATGGTAAGCAGAACTCAACTTCAACTTAATACCCAACGCCTCTTGCAAACTCTATCAAAACCTCGACATAAACCTTGGATCTTTATCCGACATGATGCTCGACGGAATACCATGCATGCTAACAATCTTCTCAATATACAACTCTTCCAACTTCTGCAAAGGATAACTAATCTTAATCAGAATTAAATGAGCCGATTTAGTCAGTCTATCAACAACGATCCAAATAGAAACATCCCTTCCTCGTCTTCGGTAAACTTGTCACGAAATCCATGAAAACGTTATCCCACTTCCACTCAAGAATACTCAACGATTGCATTAGTTCTTTCAACTTCTGATGTTCAATCTTTGACTTTTGACAAGTCAAACAGACATAAACAAATTCAACTACCTCATTCTTTATTCTTGGCCACCAAATCAACTTCTTCAAGTCTTGATACATCTTAGTGGCACCAGGATGAATCCTCAGACCACTTCTATGACCTTCCTAAGAAATACTCTTCTTAAGCTCTGGCACATCAGATATAGAAACCCTATCTCTGAACCTTATTACACCATTCTCGTCAATTCTGAAATCACCACTCTTCTTACCTTGATTGATTGATTTTGAGAGAATGTGAGTGGAGAGAGTTTGAATAAATGTATATAATACTTTTTAGAAGTGAGGAAGAAGAAGGGTTCTGACGCGTTTTAGAACCAATATCGTTCAGAGATGCATCTTCTAAATGTACACGAAGATGCATCTTCATAGTTTTTTCAACGTTAAGTCAGAATTCTATCGACTCAGAGTGCGTCCGGAGATGAATCTCTGGAAACTAAAGACATTTTTGTATTTTTACGTGGTGTCTTAATAATACATATGATGCATTAAGAAATCTCCTATTTTATTTAACAGATAAATCGAGTTCGGTCAAATCTTAGTTTTTTATCCACCTTATAAGAGCGTAATTATCGGTGGTATTTCAACATTCTTACACCGTTTTTATATCACTTTATCAAAAAACGATGAATAATTAAAAAGAAAAATCATTCTTGAAAAAATCAAGTTGCAGTAAACAACACTTATGCTATTTCCTTCATTTTCTTTTCATTTTTATTTTAAAAAGTAAAAAAATTATTATAAATATGAGGTATATTATAGATTTGGTAGGAGTTATTTTTAAGTTTTTGAAGGATTATATAAATATTTAAAAAATATAATTGAATTGTTTAAATAATTAAAAATAGTAAAATAATATAAAAAATTGAGTATAATCCATTTAAAAAATTAAAATGGATATGATGATGTAATGAATACTACACCACCCATTATTTGGAACATCAACATCTTAGCTAAGGATTAAATAACACCTTTAGAAATGAACCAATAATGCATAATTTGTAAATGGATAACTAGATTTTCAAAAATTAAAAACAGGAGGAAAATGGCGAATTAAAAATAATTGAGATTGTATCAGTAATCATATTTGTACATAAGTTTTAAATATTTTAAATAAAAAAATTCCAATATAAACAACATGTGGAAAAAAAGAAAAAACCAACGGCCCAAAATATCTGACAGCCCTCAGGAATGGAGTACAACTAGCTAATTTATGCATTTATGACTGTTACTAAAATTACATAAATGTCCTCAAGTGGGACCCGACGAGAGATTCTCGACGGACGGTGCTAAGGGAAAACCCATAAGCATTTGTCCAACTTAGAAAAATGGATCCCTGCAGCCAAATTTTTGACACATTCAGCTGTCACTGTATTAGTGACCGTTTAATCTCAATCATACGGTCCAGAAAAAATAAGATTAATATTTATATTTTAATTAAAAAATACTAGTTTAAAATCAGAACCGTCTGATTTTGATCACACGGTCATAGATACCTGCCTGCGTGACTGCAGGGTATGCTTCACTGCAGCAAAATGCAGTCCCCAAACTAGACCCATTCGAACGCGACCTCTACAATTTACAACCTCACCCGTCACTTAAAAAAATCTATCTACATTCTCTCTCCTCTACAAAACCCAGCTCTTGATTTCATCTGATTTTTTTTTCCATCACGCGGGTAATGAAAGGGAATCCGTTAATCGCAACCGTTCAAGTTAATCCAACGGCTGTAAATCGCAATAGTGGGTCCCGTTTCACGTAGCAAAAGATGATTGTAGTCAACTTGATTGATCTCTCTTGATGATAAATCAACGGTCGTGATTAATTTCTATCTTCTTCTATAAAACTCGATAATCATGTGAGTACTTTTTCACATGTGTGAGTAGTTCCAGTTTTATACTCAGATTTTTAGGGTTGAACATAACCAGATTCATCACCATAACCAAATTTACAACAATGCTTCTACGAAGCTCGTCAACGCCGGTTATGAATCCATGGCTTCTACACTCAAATTCGAAGGATTCATCTCCCGAACCGGAATTCTTTCACCGAAACCCGAAATCCAGATCTGTCACGTTCTCGCCTTCGTCGTCGAGTTCAGTTTCGCCGATTTCTGGTCCAGTGAACAAACTTACTCGAGCACTTTCAGAAACCGATCTCTCAGTGTCGCCTAATCGGAAGCCTCTCCACCGCCGTCAATTTGAAGACGACGATGAAGAGAGCAGAACTCTCGGTTTTGGTGCTCGTTCCAGATCGGCGTCGTTTAGTTCCGCGTTGTGTTCTTTGTCTGAGTTGGAAGAAAAAGAAAGCCAGAGTGGAGTCGATGCCAGTGATAGCGGTGTGTTGGTGGAAGAAGGCGGCGGCGGTGGATTTGACAAAAACGACGGTGGAGTTTCTAGATTCGGTGATTCAAATCACGGAAACGATAGTACTGATTTGTATTACCGTGCAATGATCGAAGCTAATCCAGAGAATCCACTTTTTCTTAGCAATTACGCAAAGTACTTGAAAGAGGTATTAGAACTTAGAATTTCAAAGTTCGTTTCTCTCTAAATTGCTATTTTAAGATATTATTAGTTTATATTGATTTTTTTGGTATGATTCTAGGTTCGTAAGGACTATGTGAAAGCTGAAGAGTATTGTGGAAGGGCAATATTGGCAAATCCTAATGATGGTAACGTTCTGTCACTTTACGCAGATTTGATATGGGAGTGTCATAAGGATGCTTCTCGAGCGGAGACTTATTTTGATCAAGCAGTTAAAGCAGCTCCTGATGACTGGTAACTAACAATCCTGTTTGAATTGAATGAATTCTTGTTATTATGCTGATTATGCGAAGAATAATGAATTAATAAAATGGTTGGTTTGTTGTTGCAGTTATGTTCTAGCGTCGTATGCCCATTTTCTATGGGATGCCGAAGAAGAAGAAGAGGATGAAGTTGAAGAAGAATCCTCGGAGAAAGCTTTTGGTTTCTTTACTGGAGGTTCTCTAACAACAACTCCTCCACCGATGGCTGCTGCTGCTTCTTGAATTGTGTCGTTTTGTGGTTTCTGGGTTTCAGTTTTTTATGAGTTTTTCTAACCTATGTTTATATTAATTGTTATTATTATGATTAGCTTAACCTTTTCTATTAAAATTTTGGCCAATGAATATAGCTGTAATAATGGTCTTTGTTCGCCTTGCCATTAATGTTGAAATATGAATAAAAGGTGGGGCTTTTGATTGAATTGAATTGTTAAATCTCTATCTTCTTGTAGCATGTTTGTATTGGATTGAAAAAGAAAGGAAAAAAAACGAAAGCAAAAAGGAGAAAATGTTAAAAGGAAGTAAAGTGAGGGGAAAGGAAAATGGTCTTTGTACAGGAATAGAAATATTTCTCTTCTCTCCTCTATAGAAATGAAGGTCTAAAAATATTAGAAGCGTGCATCAATATAATGAAGATGAAGATAAAGACATACTCCAGAAGACAGTGGCTGAAGCAAAAAATAAAACTTTTAATGGTTAGACACTTGTAAAAGAAAAGAAAAACACTAAAAAGGAAAAAAAAAGCTAGAGGAGAGGAAGGAAAAAAAAGAAAATAGATTTGAAGCAAATGATAATAAAGATGAAGAAGGTAAATGATTAGCCCGGAAGAGATAGAAGAGTTACAAGGATAAGACAGAGATGGTTGATAAGATTAAAAGTATTATATTGTGTTGATAAGGTTAAAAGCATTTTATTGTGTTTTGAGGGTAGGCAAAATTCTAATAATTGTATGAGACTCATATGATGTATTTGAAACAACGACATTTTGAACGGTAAAGAATAAGTCTATAGTGTAGCATTTAATATAATTTTACAAGATCATTAATGACTTAAAAGCTGGAGGAAGATGGAGTAGTCCACCTTGATGACTATAAGATTTGTAAGGTTTATGATATTGGTATGATCATATTTAAAATGTTTGATGATTGTGAGTTTTTTCTTTATAATATGAGGTATGTTTTAGAGTTTAAGTAAAATTTGTTATTCATAAGCATGTTTGATGATTTAGATTATTGCACTAAAGTTGAACATAGAATGTTGAAGATTTCACATGAAAAAATGATAATTGTTAAAAAGTTAAAAATTTGTGATTTATATATTTTAGAAAGTTTTAACGCCGTTCAATTATCATCATTTAAGTGGAGAATTTCATGAAAAAACGAAAAAACGAGCTGTGGGATTTGAGGTCAAGGCATGGTGGATGCTTGAAGGTTGTTTTAGAGCATTTTAATGAGTTTTTGCAGAAAATAAGAGATAAAACACATTTGATTGTTGAGTTGTCATGGAATTTCTAAGGTAAGGCTGATGCCAAAACAACTTATTTGATCAGCAAATATTCATTCAATAGAATAAACTTTCAAACAATCATGGAGGTTTGGAGTAGAAAGACGGTAACCTACTCTATTTTGAAGGTCGTCAAAACTTTGCTTATTGATTAAATTAAGCCAAGTTCGTTTAATGATAAAGTTGTGGATTATACCTTTAATAACCATATAAGAGGTAGGAAGCGCTATGAGCTATTGAGAGTGGAACCTAGAGAAACGAAGTTCATAAATCATAGATGAATTACTTTTAGCGCGTCTCATCAGAGAAAGAAGAGTAAAGATAAATGGATGAAGTTTTTAGAAACTATTGCAGCTAACACTCAGTTTGAAATAAATGTTACTAGTATAGATAATAGTAGTAGTGATAGAACGATTAGAGATGCCTTTAATTATCATTTAATTCATGACAAGGTAATAAGGGAGACTGAACCATCTCAAATGGACGATTATGCTGGTCTTAGGCGATATGCTTTGAATGTGGATGAAAGGTTGCAAAATAAAAAAACATAGGCTTTCAGGGAAGCATTCAAAAGTAGGTGGAGTCAAAGATGGTTGAAGAATCATACTTGTGGGTTTATTAGACTACTAAAATATAAAAAGATGGTTGGAAGTAAGTTGATGCAAGTGACATGATCAAAGTTTAAGCAAGGCTCAAATTTGATAAAAATTGTTCAATAGATGTTGAGTTGACAAAGAGCAACAAGATGGTTGATCGGTAAATTGACATCACAATAGTTTCAGTTCAAGGTGAAAATTGTTGAAGTATGTCTCAAAAACTTAAATAATGAAGATAAAGAAAATATGTCCAAACATTAGCCTAGAGATGAAGTCGGTGGCGACGACGCAATAATGTGTTTGTGTCTGGTGTACGGTTTGACTTGTGAGCTTGGGTCCATTTTTTTTAATTCACATGTATTAAGCTTCATTGTTTTGGTTCATAAATATGTTTGTCAATGAGTTATGTTTTGGAATTTGAGAAATCTTTAGAGTATCTAAAAAGATTGAGAAACATTTTTAGACACTTTGAAGTTGTGTGATTCATAAACAAAGAGTTTGAGAAATATTTAGATAAAAAATATGATTTGTTCTTTAAAACTTATGTGTTTACTTTCTTATAACTCATTTGTAATTTTTTATAAAATCTTTTAAAATTATAACAAATCAGCAACCATAAAAGATCACATTTCTTTAAAATTCTTTTTCACTCATAATCTTCATAGAATAGAGTGGTATCATAATGGATTTTGGGGGTCATGCATTGTTTTCTTTCCTCATTTTGCTTGTTCCAAATGATGGATTGCCGTTCTTTCTCTAAGCTTTATCTCCCCTCACTTTATTTCATCTCTTTTACTTTGGAAGCAAACAGAGTAGTCTTGCATGTTATTTTGGAGTTATATAATAGATTATTTACAACGTGTGGGTATTAGAGGGAGGATTTTGATTTTTTTAGTCAGCTGGCGGGCAGGCGTAGAAACAAATCAAAATTAGAACGTGGGTTGGGTGTGGTCCGCGTAGATTTATATATTTATGATTTATCATTAGTGGTGCCTTTGTTGCCTCTTATTTTATTTTGTCAAACTCATAATCATGATATATCCAACCATTTGCCAATTCAACCTTTAAGACCAGCTTTGTTGTAAAGCACTTTATTTTTATAGATAAATGATACTGATTATCTTAAGATTTTATGATTTTAACTCTTCACCTCACAAATCCATCGAAAACTGCCCCGACTTTGTTTGACGGTAACTTCGGTTTTCATGCGGCGCACAGATGCGCATTTTCCCAATATTTAAGGTTTGTGCGTACGTGATGGTTCGTTCAAGGTTGACAGTTGCGTTGGTGCGTGAGGCTTGCAATGGCTGCAAATTGACTTGTAGGATGCGTTGCGCTGAAGAATAATAGCAGTAGCGTGTTTCATCATGGTATGCTTTTGTGAATGCTGTGAATCATGGTTCATTTTTGGATAAAATAATAACATAATTGGAAGTTGGATAATTTATAAAAAATGAATAGATGTAAGAATTGAATTTGAAATGTGGAAATTGGTTAGAATTAAGAATGATTATGGACATGGATATTGGATGGATAATAGGTTTGGATAAAAATGAAAAATTGGGCGATAAATTTGAATCATGAAAATAAATTCTCAATTTAGATCCACAAATGCACCTATTGACTGGTCTTAACCCAACACTACACCCCAACAATCTCTAAAGGCATCTTGACAGAAACTGTTTGGCCCAAAATCCTGATTAAAAATGAACAGACTCCACATGATTCTCCATCATGAAACATGTAATATGTAACACCCTTCTAAACCCCACGGAAAATATATGCATAATCAGAGTAAAATTAACATGCATTCAAATAAAAAGGGCGTCACACAAAACTTGCACCACATTAAAACAATCTGTCATGCTCATAAACACTTTTCCATTTAGCAGCGGATTCATTAATGAAAATCCTTTAAAAGAAACATTTGCTTTCATAATATAAAATCAACATCTCTAGGCACTAAGGCCAACATCTCATTATCTCAATTATTCCAAATATGAAAACATAACTTAGGTTACATAATGTAATCCTAAAACATAAGCAATCGATCCCCGTGTTACACTACCAGAGCATGACTCGACCCATAAATGATTACTAAACCGCTACACACGTAGCAACCTCGAACTACAAGCAGAACTTCATAAAGGCCTCCAACAACCTAATCTGCAATGCCTCATAGAGCATTATAAAACAGCAGAAGGGTGAGAAATATTACCATAATAATCAAAGCATAAAATCATGTATATATAGGTATCCTATAACACATATTCACATTTCTCACCACACTTCATTCTCATAATCATAATCATATCACGTTCACATATATCAACATTATGAACATCCACAAGCACATCCCTTCATGCTTAATTTCACAATCATTCACAAGCACATTTATACAACAACAATATTATGCAATGTGACTCAACATATCCAATGCAACTCAATGCTATGCGGTACCGACTCACGTTATCTTTTTTCGGTTTTCACTCTAAACCGGGTCCACCCTTCTAGACCGATAACTCGTTATCATTTTTCGGTTTTTACTTTAAACCGGGTCCACCCTTCTAGACCGATAACAACCAAGCCCGTCCCCTAGGCTTCAAACCCACCCTTCTAGGTTTGGGACAAGCCACTAGTTTCCACGAAACTAACAGACATTGCCTCTTGACTGAATGATGCATGTACAATCAACCAATCACAATAAATGCACTTAAGACCGTTCCCGCGTCTTAATCCCATGCATTCGAATAATTCACCCCTTCGAGAATTTCATCATGATTGCACATACAACATATATCAAACATTTATCAATGTATTCATTTCACACATCATCATATTCAACAACAATGCACACATATCACATATGTTCCCATGCATTCACACAACATTCGCATACATATTTCCCAATCATCCAAAACCCATCATAATCACAAGCATACTTCATATATCCATGACATTTATGCTATTACCACATCATCAAACAATGCACATATATCCACGATATATTCCCATGCATTTCTCACAATTATTAACGATGCACACATATCCACGATATGTTCCCATGCATCTCTCACAATTATTAACGATGCACACATATCCACGATATGTTCCCATGCATCTCAT